TCGAAGCTGAGACCGGGAAGTTCAGAGTCCCCGTTTTCATTGGGTGACAGCACCTGGGCGAGGTACTCCGCCTCGTACTGCTTCAGCTCGTTGTTGTTGGACATTAGGTGATGNTTGTTGTTGGACATTAGGTGATGATGGTAAAGGAGGTGATGGAGGAGGTTCGGAAGTTGAAGAATAAGCTCGGGAAAAGATGATGATGACGAGTTCAAGTTCAAAGTTAAAAAAACTGCGTTTCTATTTTCTCTGTAAGAGCACACTGTCTACGAGCAGCTCACTCTAAAAAAAATGTTTCACCAAAAAACGGTAAACAGACAAAAAAGTGGTGACTAGAAGGCTATCCTTTTAATCAATTTTTTAATTGGTCAAAACTAAAATCAAAACTTTATCCTTTTCCTGTTCCTTAAAACAGGCCTTCTTAAAATACGTCCAAAGCTTTCTAAACCCTCCTCTTACAAAGAACACACTAAAGGCACGCTTAAAAGGCACCACTAAGCACACAGAGCTTATGAAGGCGCCGTGGCATAGTGGTATTGCGTCTGTCTCGTAAACAGAAGATCGAGGTTTCGATTACCTCCGGTGCCATTCAAAATGGGGAAAAGTTTTTGTGTTTTTCTTTTTGCTTTTTTTGTAGTGCTCTGCAGAATGCATTCCAAAATTCGTTTCCAAAACTTGAAAAGGACAACAAAAGAATTACGACGTAAGCTGATCTTCAACGCCAATAACAACATTGAATTGTTGATTATTCGCTTGCCGCCTCACATTTTTTCCTTAATTGGCGGAAAATTGTACACCTGCTAATTGACATTAATTGATATTTTTGACTGAATATGGGTGAAAAAGGTGCACAATAATTAAGAAACCCGTAATTTTTGTCAAGAATACATTTCACTTTCATAACATATTCTCTTCCTTCTTCTATTTATCCTCAGAAAACTCCAAAAATGTACGACGTTTCTCGAAACTCGAAATCCCAAAGAATGGAGTCAACAAAGAGAGGAGGGTCGATCTTTACGCCTCCTCAGAAGATTCCACCACCACCACCACCACCACCACCTCCATCAAATTCAGTAAAGAAAGAACTTGCTGATTTCGAGCAGAACCGCTGTCAGGACATTAGCTCAGAGAAGTGCGCCCCGGCGCTGCAGATTCTCATCATCTTTTACCGGTTCGATTTCCCCTTATTTTTTTAATTCCACTAAATAACTCTTTTTCCTCTATCAACAGATTCTTTGGCTTCTCTTTCAGTGGCGTTCTCTTTATCAACAAACCGTCACCTCCTCCACCTCCAAAAGACAGGCCCAAATTC